GTCACACGCATCAAAATGGGCTTCATATAATTATTTGAAAAATTCCACAAAAAAATATTTGTCTAAAGAACCTTAAAAAAAATAGGCATGTAGAAATCCATACAGAGAACAGATTTCTTGAAAAGAAAGGTGATTCATCCATTAATTACAAAATTATGCCACCTTGAAAATGGCTAATTGTCAGTTATAGCCAAATTACGCAAAATTTGACCATTTCGTCTCTTATGTAAGTGGTCGTATTTTCAAAAGTACTTATTCAAATTTGACAAATGAGGTATCAAAACTCCTCTTTCCATGTGCTCTAAAAGGAAATTGGCAGGGGAAATGAAATGTAGATACTTTCAAACTTTAGCTGTGATACCTACTTTTACAGGTACGACATAAAAATGCCCAAAGTTATGCTTACTTACAATATACATATAGATCACTAAACACAGGGGAGGCACAATAAGTGTTTCAACAGCTTTTTGTATTAAATGTCAAAATCTTTAAATGGAGCATGAAATTGCATTTCTTTCAGTTGAACTAGTACAAAATATTTTTTCAGGAGAATGCTTCCGGCATGACATACTCTTTTGCAATCTTGGCTACATAAATTTCCCAGTCTTTGTGTTTAGGGGTGATATGTTATGCTAAGTGCCTGAAAAATGGTCTAGTAGAGTGTGAGAAGATTTATGCATGAAATTTAAAAGCAACATGGAAAACTTGTGGAAATTATTATATATATTACACTGGTCACCATTCAATAATTAATGATGCTCTTTTGTGTGTGCAAATGGGTAGGGAGAGTGGGTGGTGTATGTGGGCGAGTGTGTAGGTAAGGATGAGTGTGTTGTGTGTGTGTTTTTTCTTCATTATACATAGTGTGTAATTTGAAATATTACTAGCTAAGTTGTACAGTACACTACATATGATTGTATACGATAGATGGAATTTACATATTAGAAAGTACACTACGTAGGTGAAAATAATCCTTTTTAAAAATAAAGAAGATGAGAGAAATAGGAAATGGCAAGAACAGAAAAAGAGATGGAGCTAGAAAGATATGGAGGAAAGGGGAATAAATGAGAGAGGAAAGAGAAAGCTACATAGCAATTATCGATATTACAAGTTGTGTATAATAATTTTTTTAAATATTATCAATAATATCATTAAAGGTATTACAAAGTTTTGGGAAATTTTGAAAAATGGGTGGATAGTGATTCTTTACAATTTTGATATATTTGGATGCCCATGTGGATGTATTAAAAGCACTAGAAATTTTAGCCCCTAAAACACTTCTGCTTTCGAGAAAAATTGAATGTAAAGATTTACCGGTGCTCCCGGTAAATTTTGATAAATTTTAAATGGCTCCTACGGCCGTACTATGGTAGATGCGACCATGGAAATCTCAGAATATGTAGTTGTGGTATAACGGGAATAGCTAATCGATCGATATTGGTCAAGAAACATTGTTTTATAGCTTAATTAATATCTTGACCTTGAGAGGGAGCTATACAACATAAAGTGATTATTATTTATAATTTCATGAATTTAGACTCGATTTCGACCGCGACGACGATCACTGAATATTGTAGGGTCGCATATGCTTCTAATATGTTCATTTAAACCAAATTCATGACCCCATACCAAAACTTTGTATTACCTTTAATAATCATGAAAACAAAAGTGACATTTTCTAAGAAAATTTGTATGTATGTGCTCACCCTTGATGTTAACCAAATTTAGTCAGTTCTGACTTTTGAGATGCTGTTCAATAAACTTCATGTAGGCATATGGTAAGATACTAATCAAATTTGTTTCTTGTTTCTTCTTTGCATTGCGAAATTTAAGTCCCACAAGTGGAATTATATCTTCATCTATGTGATCTCAATGTTGAACATACATCCCATCTCAATCCAATCCAATCCAGGAAATTTATAAAGCGCCAATATCTAGTTACCTAATCAAAGGCGCTGATGAGACTGAAAAACTACCAAAAATATCTGTTCATGATTCTAAATTGGTAAAGACAAAAAAGCAGTGACTAATTGTAAGCAATCTTAAATAGGTATGTCTAGTTTTTAAATAGGTATCTCTCAACTTGTAAATAAAATATCCATTTTTTTTTCTTAGTTGTGGGAGTTTCTTTTAGATTTTCTAGTTCAATTTCATTGCACAGGTTTCTATGCATCATTTTAACAAAAACTATTTTTGATCTTTGTTAACCACTGCTCTTTTTTGTCTTATTCACTGCAATCTCTCACGTTTTAAGAGTTGAGCAAAATTAATTTTTCTGAGATCAGCTCACTCTAATCAATATTGTAATTTTTTTGTTTACCCAGTGCTCTTTTCATTCTTGCCTTTGTTTTGTAACATCAAAGTTTATTCTCACACGTTCTGTAACTCGTAAGCATTTAGTTTAAGAGGGAAAAAAGCAAACTAGATTTATTATATCATGAAAAGGGGCATTTGGTGTAGCTCTACAGCTGATACAGATACATAAACCCAATTTTCACAAATCGTCTTTTGTCAACTTTTTCTACCTTCTTTTGGCTTCACTACATAGAAAAGGAGCTTGTATAACTTTACTCTTTATGCAATAGTAGTTACAAGAATGCCAAAAATTTCATTAAAAGTATAACTATTTTATAACAAGACCATCATGGTTAATACTACCATAGAAATCAGAAAAGATTGAGGTTTATCCACGGTTTATCTGCAGTGCATTGATGCATGGTCAGGTTACAAAATCTTATAATTACCTCGACAGAAAAGGATACTGAACTATTTTCTCTAGAAAGTGTGTGATCCCAGTACTTGCTGGTACTGACAGCAAATAATAGATTAAATACAGGAGATTTTGTTTGCATTAAAGCATATATACATAAATATCTACAATAGATTTTGATTTGCTGATTAATATCTATTCAGTATTATAGAAATTGAAATACTGCCTTCCTTTTCTGGTCAAAATGTCACGGTTACTTGGACAAGAATGCAGCAACCTGCTGATGATCTGTTCAATCGCTCGTTCATTCATTCATTGTAAATAAGTATTTTCATATTTGTATTGGGATGACTGACCTTAGGGTGTGTATCAAGGCAGGCATAATAGGGCTTATTGACCAGATTCCAACGTGTCCCCAACCAGGTCAACTTTACAGTTTTTCTTTCTACATGTCCATATTTCATCGTTTCTAGTTATTATACATGTACTTGAAAATGACCAAAGATATTCTTCTTTGATATGAAAAGAGATAATTTTGAATTTTGAGTGTTGAGGATGCCTTATTCAAACTTATTTTGCTCTAAAAGGGTAATCCAACCCTAGTAATCAGTTGGTTTGTATGAAAGCGGAAAAATAATAAAAACAGAATGGCAAAAGTTTAAAATGAATCGGACCAAATGTAAGAAAGTTATGAATGTTTGAAATATGCGATCACTAAGTCTACGCAAATCTCAAATTGGTAGTGTGGTCAGTGGATTGTGACGTAGGACATGGATAACTCACCCATTTGCTGTGTACAAAAATATAACTAATTTTTGTTTTTCTCGTAAGTTCCTTCTCTCTTGGGGCACTACTCAAAATATATTGTAGAAAGCATATTATTATCGGTCATCTAAAAAGAATAGACCCTTCTGAGCCATGACTTTTTGAAAAATATTAAATTTTAGTAATTTTATATGTACGGTTGGAACAGATGGGAAAGTCATCCGGCACTTCATCCCGTTGACATTACCGCTTCAGCCTTGTGGACCTTGTGGCAGATTAGCCCTGTGCTAAACAAGGTATCCAATAAAGTCTACTACTACTACTACTACTACTTCTACTACTACAACTACTCCTCAGCCAATTTGAAGTGCCCATACATCTAGTGATTACAACTTTCAACAATTCATAACTTTCATATTTTTTGTCAGATTTAATTGACACTTTAATCAGATGTTAATGATATTTTTTTCCACAGTATTTTAAAAGGAGATTTATTACCGACTATGTCACATTCCACTGACCAAACTGCTAATTTGAGATTCACATACACTAAGTTATCTTATATTTCAAACATTCTTAACTTTCATATTATTGGTCTGATATTTTCACCATTCTGTTTATCTTATTTTTCTGCTTTCATACAAATGAACTTATTACAAAAGTTGGATTGCCCTTTAATTAGTATGTGGTTGCCAACTTTTTATCATTTGTACAATGTACTTAGTAATTAAAAGAAAAGGGACAGGATTCATCTCTGATCTATTGTAAACCCTGTTCAAAAGATCATAAAAGGTAAAATACAAGAAAAGCTCTAAAGGGTGTCATTTTAAATGCTACAATAATAAGATGTTCACCAAAGTCATTCTCATTTCAGCCTTCAACTTTCTTTTATATGCAGGTAAATAATCGCCCCCTTCTTGACATTCATTCTCTTGGGAGCAAGAAAAGAAAGAGAAGTCTTAAGTGCAGCAAACATTATGAATCTGTTCCATCAAGCCAATAATATTTTGCTGTCCATAAAATGCATCTTCCACAAGCCAAGATAACTCTCACCTTTATATAGACACTACAAATAATTCAAATCACGCTCTTTAAGAATCACGCATGTAATGTTGCTGACAGAACCATGCAGCAAGAACGAGGTAGCAAATTAATATTCAACATTCTGATATAATTTGCTGACATCTTCATGAATCTGTGTTAATGTTTAAGAATCACAACATGATCTTATGATTTCACATTATAGAAAGCGATCAAATTATCAGGCCTGTTTAACACATGTGTACACCTTTTATGCAATACCTTTTATGCAATACTCATTTTCTTTAAAAATGGATCACCATGACCAAGATCAGGTTTTAAAATACCATATCATACAATTAGACTGTAATGTCACATCACCAACAATTAAACCCCTGTTTGTACCCAGATTCATTATTTCAAGCCACTAGGTTTCACTAAGATAATTCTGGTCGATAGCCTTTTACCAAATTCCCATAAATCAAATCATATTTTCTGTTCTTACTTTGCCCGTTCCTTGGCTCTCATCACATTTGACCTCTTGTTTAGATCCCATGTTGGCAAGGATACCAGGATGTTGATCCCATCTTGACCTTTTCAGAGAAGATGATGATGATGATGACGAAGATTGTCCTGGCTCTTCCACTTCTTTTGATATCACTGTTATTAAGAAAGGTGTTGAATTTTAATTGGTGATGGGAGTAATATGAATGTGGGCAATATGTTTGGTATTTAAATAAATATATTGAAGCACAAAACTATAATTTGATTGACAGATGTGTAATTTGTCATAAGAAGATGCTAATGTAGGATTTTATAGATAAAACTGTTATAAGAAAACAAAACACCAAGGAAAAAGAAAAGGGAAAAAAGCAACAAAAAAAACAAAAAGAATTACTTCTACAGAATAGCAGAAACAGGAGTTTTGTGAAATTCATTATTTTCTCTGAATATCCATGATAAATGTTTCATCCTCAAAACCTCAAAGAGCTGGCTAAGAATTTCATTGTATTCCAAATTAATGTAAAAACTTTGTTGTTTATTACCTTAATTTCCTTTTTTATCAAACTAAATCAACCTGTCAGGGTTAACTTTGTGTTTAATTCTCAGAGTTGATGAGGATCATATTTTACTCAATAGGAAATTATTCATAAAAATATGACATGTCTACATCCTGTTCTGCAGACATAGAATATGTAGGTGTACCATATACAGTATATTGAAATGTGCTTATTTATATCAAATTATATTGGCACGCTGCCCAAAATCAATATCAGCAATATTTTGTAGGTTTAGGGAAAAAACTCTTGAATTTTAAGGCTTAACTGCTCTTTAAAGTCTACATACAGCTTTAATATATCCCCAAATCAATACAAAACAAAACAAACAAACATCAACTTAAAAGTATTAATCAAATTTGATTTGGCCTTTAGTTGATGGATAGAAATACACTCCCAAATTTTACTTGTTCAAGAGATTTAATTCAACCTAAAAGATGAACATTTACTAAGTTTTATACCACACTAGTATTACTCTTGCCGTTTAGTGATGGCCTTTTGATCTTAAATGATCCGCATCAATCCATATCATTGACTGGAGCACTGAATTGAATATAAGGAGTGTGCAAATATTTTTCATGCAGAAAATTGCAAGAACAGCCTTGCATATGAGATGGAACATGATGAGTTTCATCACTCAACACATTTTAAATTCTGGTAGAAACAATTTAAGAGAAACAGGCTGAAAGAAAAACATATATCTTTCAGGGCCCCATGCAGCTATAACCACCCACATTTTGACATTGCAACTAATATTTTAGACCGAGAAATATTTTTATTTTCTCTTGGAAACCATGGCTTATAAATTGTCAAGTTTGATATCATGCAACACTAAATTGAAAATGTAAATATTAGAAAAACTAAATGTGATTAAAATGTGTTTCATGAAATCATTGTTGGTACAAGTTTGTCAACTTGGTGACACTGCAAGGGAACAGTATTTATTACACAGTAGCTGGGTCATGTGGACCAGCAAATGTACCAGTAACCAAAAGCTAACTGGCAATACGCGGTAAATACGCGGCAATACATGAACTCTCACATCGCGGCATATGATAAAACAAGCTTAATTTGGCTTAAGCAACACAAAAAAAAAAAACAACAAAAAAAAAATTGAAATTTTGAAAATCCGGGATCTCCCGCATTTTGGGGTATGAAAATATACCTCCGCCTGCAGAACAATCAATATATTTTAATTATCGGATTAAAGGTAGTAGCCCTCTTTTGCAGCCCCTCCCTAATTTTGATGAAGTTCTTTATAGGCATGATAATAACCCTCTTCATATTTTAGACCTAACAGACCAGTAGCTTCTAATGAATTTCTGCATCTCTTTTTTCATCCTCAAAATGTTATGAACAGTGTTTTCAGAACATACATTATCAAATTATAGTAGCAAGTAGGTCCCACAGCACCTAATGATCTTTAAATGGTCATACATACTCTTACAAAGTTTCACTACGATAGCACAATTCGTTCTCAAACTATCGTGCTCACAAGATATTTTAGCACATTTAAATTGACCTGTAACCTTTCAACTTTTGACCCCTTAATTTAATCAGGTGATCTTTACATGGTCATACATACTCTCACAAAGTTTAACTATGATACTTGATTCGTTCTTAAGTTATAGCATTCACAAGAATAATAATGGACAGATGCACCAGCAGGTGTACGGACAGACGGACAACCCGAAAACATAATGCTTCCGGTACTCACTTCGTGTGGCAGAGGCATAAACACCTGTCCATAAAGACAATCTGTCTGCAAAGACTACAATTCTTGTCTCAGTCTAGTGGTCTTTGTATACAGGGTCTAATATGACCTGTTTTCTGACAACAAACAAAATGTCACTAGTTTTCAACTTACATGTTTGTATCTCTTTATTAACTGACAACAGAGACATCTGCAAAAGGTGTAGGGGTGGGATTCTCTCAATTGAACTTGAAAGAAACGACCCAAATGAGAAGCATTGTAAATGGTTACAAATAGTTAGTGACCTGGCACTGATTTTGAGAATGTTTCATGGAGCCAAAGTGATACATACATTTAGATAATCCTGGTTGTGTAGGGTATATGTCCATCTGAGCACTGGCCGGCTGCTGAATCTCCAAGAAATTAAAGACAGAAAACTTATCCTTCTTTACAGTAGGAAGGCCAACAATTGAAGACCTGTTGGAAAAAGAAAGATTTTTCAAAAGTAGACACCAATGAATGACTTATCCAAAAAGCATATTGCGTAATTTCTCAAGGTTGAATGGTTGCCGAATGTTGCCAAATTCATCTATGATAGTTTTACCCCATTGGCTATAGGAAGGGGTGAAGTCAGCAGTAAACTGGTGAAGAAAAATTGATCAATAAAGACTGGGGAAAGTCAATATTGATGTTCTGTAAGAATAGCGTCCGCCTCACAACCGGGAGGTCGTGGGTTCAAACCCCGGCCGCGTCATACCAAAAGACGTTAAAAGATGGGAGTTGTTGCTACCTTGTCTGGCGTTCAACAATAAGGGATAGAGCAACGTCGATCTGGCGCTGCTCAGTGGCTGCCGGGCTCACGATCAATTGGGCAAAAAGAATTTCCGTTTCGGTTTAATAAAATTTGGAGTGGACTATTAGGCTATTATTATTATTATTATTATTATTATAATTATTATTATTATTATTATTATTTCTATTTGTTATGCAGTACAATACTTGGAACTATACAGAATCACAGATATTCAGTAATTTTCAAAGAAATCTCCATGAGATTAAACAGGTTTTTAACCATGTAATCTTGCTTTTCAATACCAAATATTATAATTTTCACACCCATTTTCAAGAGGTAACTTCTACATTCAAATTACTTACACCAAGGTAATTACTAAGAAAATAGTGCAAAAAGTATTTCATACATGTACATACAGAATTAATCAACAATGTCTACTGGTGCCTATCCAATATTATCGAAGTCTCTTCCCCTGTCCCCACATTACCAAAAGGTCATGTGAACCATGAAGAAATAGTAAAAACGTTTTGAGATCCTTAAAGATCCCTGCAGATAAAAGGGCTATGGTAACTCCCAAACACTATGTTCATCATATTCTTAGTTTATATCGTTCTTAGCATATATGTTAACAGTAGTAGTACTGTAGCTACTTAATTTATACATTCCTTTTTTTCTTCATTTTGTATGCAATTCATTTTTTTCAACCTATGATCTTCAAATTATCTCCTGCCCTTTAATATAGATGGCATCTGGTTCAGGTAGGTAATAAGTTAACGTAATGTACCTATTTTCTAAAAATATATTGTTTGTTTTTTGGTTATAAAACACCAGAATCAAAATAACTTAAACTTAAAACTAAGTGGGAACACTATTTTGAATCCACCGCAGTAACACAGATCTGGCTCATAAAAGTATGAGGTTAAGGGTAGCCCTTTGTCATGTTTATTTCTTTTAAATGGGGATCTTTCAGAAAAGTGGGCTTGGCAAGAGCTATTCATAAAGTTTTCATACAGCTTTTTGTGAGTGTGAAAGACTGTGGATTTTTTTATGATCCAAACCTTGACCTCTTACAAATGGGTATATTGTTGTCTCAATTTTTATCTAACCAAATATATAGATGACAAAAATAAGATAGAATTTTTGTGATATAATTTTGTGATATAATTTTGTTAGATAATTTTATTACAGAAGTCTTCACCTTCTATGCTTCATTTGTAATTTAAGCTTTCTGGTGTTATTGAATAACCTTTGGTAGCTTTTAATTACCGGTATGCAATTTTGAGATCTGACACAAAGAAAAGTTCTGTAAAAATAGAAAAGATTCATGGTATTTTCATGACAAAAATAAATCAATCAACGTTTTAAAATATAATAACGGTACGAACTTGAAAAAAATAGAATACTTTTTAAAATAAATGTTAAGATTATGACTAGGATTTGATCCTGTATCATCAAATGAAAACAATAACAACAACCCAAGACATATCAATAAAACACATAGTCTGAAATTAGGTGTTCCGTATGTTAAATAAACAAATGAATTGTACCAATATGAGAACACAAAAGTGAATGAAACCTAGTCTCCAATTCTACCTTTATGGGATTTCTTCAAATGATTGACACTTAACTTTACCTTTGAATTTCCTGAAGATTTATTGTAAATAGTCACAATATTTATCGAATAGAGTATGATAATGTTCTTTTTTTTGGATAGGGGAAAAAATTCTACTTGAATATATATATATTGTGTAAAGGTGTTATTGGTGTAATTAAAAACAAAACAGAGTCAATTCTTTCACCACTCACAACAAAGCAGAACAAAAATCATTTGGATAGCAGGTAATAATTGTTTGTACCTCCTTATTCATCAATCCAAATTGCATAAAATGTTACAACCACAAAAATGCATATTGTGTTTTATGTGTGTGTGGGAGGGGTGGCATGGTTACAAAAAATGGTGTATGGGCTTGTACGCAAATAGATTGTTCAATCCTGACCAACCAAACATAGTCATACTCTCCCTGTCTAAAAACTTGCCAAAATCATTTGCTTTTCCTACCACCTACAGGGTTCCTCAACCATGCATCATGACTTTACATTATATTTCCCTACTCAACCATCCTTTGAACATATCAATGCTTCCCTGATCATGCATGATCTCAGTCGGGTACACTGAAGAAATGTTGTTTTGGTGGTTTTCCCTATAATAAAACATCCAAGGCAAACAGTCATTCTCTGGCAGGTTACACAAATAGAGAATCTCCTGAATTCATTACACAACTTAATAAAAGTCGCCCAAGTTTCTTGACTGACAAACATATGACATGTTTCCCAAGCTTTTGAAAAGGTGTCGCTGTACTAACACGAAAAGTAAATACTCTCAGAGGAATGGCACAATCATATTTTTATGCCTTTTGTCATAACATGAACTCTGGAGAATAAGAAGTACAGTCTGTTTGTTTTATATCAAGGAAGAAGAAGAAGGGTTGGGGGAAGAAAAGTTGGAATTGCAGTAATATAACTCAGCATGACCTCATCCAAAAACCATTATTGAAACCGGAATCATACTAGACATCAATATGACTCACGATCTCTCCTGAAATAAAGATTAATCATATTCAGATCAAAAGCAATCTCTCTTTAAAATAATCACTTATCAAAGTATGATAATTGCATGCAGTTAAAAATGGACAGGAGTTAATCCACTTCCCATGTAAAACAACCCAAATAAATGAAGGGAGTATATCCACATTTACCCCCACAAACACAACTTGGCAAATGTAAGTATATTGGTAAAGCTGAAATGTGCATGTTACAGGGCTGTCAACCCTCTCGCATTTGGAGGGAGTCTCACCCCACCATGCTCATTCTTCTGCCGTCCCACCAGCTCGTAGCAGGAGACTCCTGCTACCACGCCCTTTTTCCCGCTTTGATGTAGAATCTCCCGGTTTATGAAGAAACCTCCTGCCAAACATGGTAACCACAATTTCCCTTTTTTTTTTTTTGCTCAAGGGGGAGGGGAGGTGTTGAGTATATATTTATCTACAAATAAATAATTATGAATGTCCAATATTCAAAAAATACTATAGTATCAATTCTTTAAAGTTCATAAAAGATTTAGTGAAATGTCATGCAAGCAATATGATACAAATCATATAACCTGGGCATAGGCATGGGGAAATCAAGTTTTTTGGGGAAATCAAGTTTTTGGGGGAAATCAAGTTTTGGGGGGAAATCAAGTTTTGGGGGAAATCAAGTTTTGGGGGATAAAAAGGAAAATTAATGGGATTAAACTATATAAAGCAATTGATAGATAGTGAGGACATGACGTTACAAACAGATAAGCAAATTGGCAATTTGTGTAGTGATTTCGATTGTTCCATTGTTTTACATACTTTTTCAAAAATTCATAACTTTCTTATTACCTGGTAGTTATCCGATTTTGCTGAAACTTGTTTTGACTGGTTTGTCTGATTTTTGTATTGAAAGTACCGGTAAGTTATTCTTGGAGTGGACTTGCCCTTTAAGACTTGGCACATACATTTTCACAAATGTTTATTTTTAATTTATGGTGTTGTACTCCTATTAAGGCTGTGTTTGGAGATGAGACTACATCTTTCTGAAAAAAATGAGTTGCCAATTCAATATGCTTCCCAGCCTACAGGCAATTGATCAATGATTAACCGGCAAGCTGCATCCATTACAGACAAGGAAAAGAGGAAAAGTTTGCATTCCTGTTTTCAATAGCACATTCCAAACTCTATTTGCTGAATACCTATGCCTTTCATACATTGTCAACTCTGCGAAGAAACTCAAGAATATGATTTCCATCTCATCTTCTTTGTTCATTCTTTCTATTATGCAAGTCATGCTCTGAAATACATTTGTTAGTCCAGTGAGCAAACACAGTCTACCTTTTCAGCAGCAGTTCCTCAAACATGTCAAAATATTGACACCAGATAAACAGAAAATAATCTTGATATCTACCCCAGTATGCAAGAAGGTACCAAAATTGAAATGTCCTCTTTAGACCACGATGGAGTTGCTACAGGTCTGTTGTATTTTTTAGTTTTTTGTGTAAAGCGCCATGAGCGTCAGAACCTGGCGGATACCGGCGCTATATAAATAACAAATTATTATTATTTACTATTAAAGTATCGTACTCTCCATCTTGCAAAAGTGTGAATGTAGCACATATCATACCTGCCAACATTTGAAAATGAAAAATCTTACTCATAGACAGAACACGAATGCTAAAGTGTTCACCCATAACATTTGGGATTTATAGGGGAAGTCCTCCCTGATATTAAGTTGGTCATAATAAAAGCAGCAAAATGGGAGAAACAAATTAGTAGTGGAAGTTTGAACAATATCAAATTAAAAGTAGCAAAGTTATACATTTTTGAAGTTGTCATCAGTGGAACACTAATTGGCAATGATGTGACATATCTTGCGAGCTCCTCTCCAATTTGCTCTGTACACAAAATTTTGTAACCTTTCATTTTTTTTAGTTATTGATGACGGAATAGATAGTTTTTCATATAGGGGTCGTATAAAAAACATATTTGCAATAATTATATTTAGGGTGAATGTACAATATACAACACGCACAGACGTTCCAGTAGCTCGTTATTATGCCGCCTGTTTCAGATATCACCTCGGCCTATAACAGTGTCACAATATA